TGTAGCCTTCTCGGTTCTTTCCTGCGCGAAACAGTTTTTGCAATGTTACTTACTTGTAAGACGGAGACAACACATGCGGGTGTAGCGTCCTCTTATCTGTAAATCACTCAACAACAACTAACTTTAAGAACTAGCTTTTACTTTTTCAAGATAAGATTACCAATTGTTTTAGTTTTTACTGTGGGCTATGATGATTATCTACTATTATACCTAAATAAATATATTTAMTTTAAATTTGAAAAAAAWRTCAGTACTTACATTTTTTCTTAATAATAAGAAAATTAAATACAATGAAACTTCTATATTAAGAAGTCTCAAGTGCAAAACAAATTGTATTTTAAAAAATGTTGTGAAGTAGAATTAAATAAATACAGTTATTATTTGATCTAGAACTCAAAAAATTGCTGTTAAACAGAAAATGGGAATTTATAACATGGTAACTTGACTTTATTTTTAATTAAAATTTAAAAAAAAATACACAACTTAGCATTTGTAGGTACAATACCAACACATCGAAACAAATTTATTTTAGTTTTTTAGGTACTTCACAATCCATAAAAATTTGTACAATTAGAATATATTATGATAAGTTACTAAACCTTAAAATTTTAACATAATATTTTCATTACTGATTTTTTTTATAGTACCTAAAAATAATTTAAATAAAACTTGTATATAAAAAAAATAAATGGATACACCTCAATWTGTTAAATATTACTATTGAAGTATAATGTATTTTATTTATGAAAAATAAAATCTTACAAAATAATTGATTGAAAATATTAAAAACAAAAAATAAAAATAAAATTTAATTTCCTATATATAATATAAAAATGCTGTATCTGTACCTAAAAGGATCTTAAGCATCATAAAAGATGCTTTAACTTAAAAGGAACCCAGACCAATTTAATATTCTTTCTACCATAAAAACATAAATTAAGTGTTCATAAAATGAAACCATTGAAGGCTTGGCTTAAATAATTTGAAGCCAAACCTAATCATAAAAAATAATCAATAATATAACATGTCTATGCTGTACCTACATTGGGAACTTGGCAGTAGGTAATTTAAGTACAAATTCRATATACTTTAGGCAATACATAATTTGTGCCTTGTAGTAAGACAATAAACATGTAATTTTGATTATAACAGTCAACCTACCCACTTGTCCCACCCAAAAATTCCTTCATGCATCGATTTACATARATGTAAGTGTATTACTACTCACCAGATCATAATCCTTTGATGCTAATGATGACATTTTAAAAAAAAAATATTAATTACAAAAACTCATTCATAACTTTTGTATTGCAAATGTTTAAGGAAACAATGATTTAAGTAAAAATTCAAAACATTAGTTATATCAATAAACGAACGAAAACGCAACCCAAAATTACTCAATACAAACCGCGAATAAGAGTATGTTACCAACCATTACCTATTGAAGTATTGAGTAATTGAGTAGTGAGTTGACTGAGTTAGTGAGTTGTGAGTACTATAATAAGTAAACTTTAAAATGAAACAAAAACAATGTAAACAACCGTGAATTACACCCTTTTTAATAACCACTACTGCCACTGGCGGATTTATAATGATAATATTATTATGTTGGCGTATAGATAGCAGTGTGCAAGAAAAAAATCAATATTTTGGAGATGGCGGTCGTAACGTCATCCGGACCACAAATCAACTGTTTTTGATATATTGATTTTTAATGAAAAAATAGTTTGAATAGTTTAAATTTTAAATTTAAATATGTTTTTATTACAAGAGTTAATTAATTAAATACGAYAACCGACAATAATTTGCAAAACATACTCTATTTTTGAGGTTAAACATTACCCATAATAATAATGCGGTTGTGTAGACGTTACTAACTTCAATTTTGTTATATGTTTTCCATTTCCACTATTCTTCAATCCACAATCTCCATTACTAAATACTTTGTAGTGTTTGTAATCCAACCGAATGCGGTTTTTTTTTGTTTTAACTTTTAATATATTATATTAATTTTTATTGTAATTTAGTTGGTTCTCYGTAATTTATATTTGATTTGTTTTGTAGCTAGTCACTTATTTTTACTATAGAAATAATGTCTCAAATTGAAACGACTGTCGTGAGTAATACCGTAAGTTCTTCACACATTCATAATTTTAAATCAAAATATCTTAAACTGTGTTAATGTTTCTATCAATTCTATGTATTAATTTCAATAAATATAAATAAAGCTTTAAAATCTAATTATAATATWCATTTTTTTATTCTGTTTAAAATGTTTAGGTAAAACAAATCATGTTAAATGTAATTCTAAACTGCAATTATATTAWTTCRATCTATAATGCCCTGATAAATCACATGTGCATTTTATCTTATAATTTAAAACTGCTATTATCACAATTATAATTATTATAATCAATTATAATTTAGAAATAATGTTCACAATACAGTATATGAAATAAAACTGACCGTTAAGAAAAAAATTAGAATTTATGATTTGGTTTTTCACCTACCTTTATGTTGGTGWTGTTAATTGTAATATATTTTTTAAGATAATTGTTCCGCTATAAAATCAACATCAATTTTGAGCAAATCTTAGATAAAAATTAGTTGTAATGCTTATTATATTCTTAGTAAAAAATATTAGTTTATCCTAGTTTTAAATAGTTAATTCGTTTCAATTATGTATAATGTACCCATCTTTTTTTTTTATACATTTATTTACCTCGATTTCTTTTTATTAGATTTATTTAAATATTAGATTTGTTAAATCAGTAAGTAGAAGTTACTTGTTCTTTTATTACACTACAAAAAACATCTTCTATTTAAAGTTACACATTTTATAAATATTTATTTAACTAGTGACTTGCTATGTATGGTGACATTAAAAATGATTTAAATCAACTTGAAAAAATATAAAACATTTTTTTAGCAATGTTTATTCAGATATGCAATAATTAAACTAAGTGTCTTTAAATAAAATCATACTTTTAAGAAAATTTACTATTTAGGTTACCAATCAAAGCTTTCAAATTATTAATAAAATAGTTATTTATAGGAGCATATTTTTCACCAATCTCCAAATATTTGAAGGTTTGTTTATGTCCACTGTTTGTGGAAYGCGGATCTACAAMATTTTATTTGTGATTTACATGCATGTGCTTAAATTCCAAATCAATTCTAATAATCTTAAAAGTTATTTGGGCAATCACTTATAATAATTGTGGATTTACTTACAATATATATTTTTTTTTAATCAGAGGGAATAATGCTACAGCTGTTCTATTTTTATTGACAACCTTAATTACATTTCCTGTTTTTTTTGTATCATATGCTCATCTATATGTATGCGCCTGTTAATTAATTTATTGGCAACTTAGAATCTTTTCTTCAATTTTTTTAATAGAATACTAAAATCGATCCCATGGAAGTAATAATGGATAATAATGTTGTTGATGATGTTGCTGAAACATCCTCTGCATTAGCTGTATCTAATGGATTAAAAAATAGATCTGTAAATGTAAGTGAAATGACTTCAATGGACTACTATTTTGATTCATATGCTCATTTTGGTATACAYGAAGAGATGCTTAAGGACGAAGTACGAACTCTCACATATAGAAATTCTATGTATTACAATAAACATTTACTTAAGGTAATTTATATTTTATAYCAAACATTACTTTTTAAATTATTTATATACTTAAAAAAATATCCTTATGCATTTTTTTAGGGTAAAATTGTGTTAGATATTGGTTGTGGCACTGGAATTTTATCTATGTTTGCTGCTAAAGCTGGTGCAGCCAAAGTAATAGGTGTAGAGTGTTCCAACATTGTAGAATATGCTAAACAAATTGTAGCAGATAACCATTTAGACCATATTGTAACAATAATCAAAGGAAAAGTAAGAAATATAAATAGAATTTATTTAGACATTTATTAATATTAAATATATTTGTTTAGGTTGAAGAAATAGAGTTACCTGATGGTATTACCAAGGTAGATATTATTATATCAGAATGGATGGGCTATTGTTTATTTTATGAGTCTATGTTGGATACTGTACTTTATGCAAGAGACAAGTGGTTAAAAGAAGGTAAGATAATTTAAATTATATTTAAAAATGGGAAATGTTCAATTATTTAAGATTATAAATAATCAATGTATATAGGGTGTCCYTTAAGGTTTTACCCATTTTGATATCTTACGAAAGATATCAAATTTCTGGTTTTGTAATGAGATTCATAGGGATAAAAACTACAATTATTTCATTTTTTAATTTATTTTAATGTTTTGGTAAAAAATT